CGCGGTATTGTGAGCTGTCCGTAGTTTCATTTCCTGTTTGAAGATTTGGCGCTTTGCTCTAAAAACTGCTTATATACCTCAGCGGTATATTTGAGGGCTTATGACACTAAAAATTTGTTTTCAATACCCGCGGTGGGTAGATGACAGATAGCCCTTTCTGTAACTTTAACAAAAATCAAGAAAACAAGATAACGTGTATCAAGTGAACAGAGATACAAGGAATAGAAAAAAAGAGTTTGGCAGAATATTGGCTCTCGTAAGTAAGTAATAAAATTCGCACTTACATGTGGGAGAAATTTATAGATATTTCTATCAAACTACGAACAATACAATGCCAAACTTCAAATTAGCCCCCAAAACAAGAAAGAAGTTTTCAGTTTCGAACTTCGCACAAAGCTACACGAGGGTGATCTGCGCTACTGTACCAAATTTTGGAGTGATAGACTAGAGTTAGTCAACACCACCCACTTGGGCTACTCTTTACCAACGAAAAGTGAAATTGGCCGTCACATTATAACGCTCTCACGGCTGAAAGGGCGAGTATGTTCGTGGAAGAGATTCTAATCCTCAGATTGCGAGTCGTGTGCCCTAACCATCAGCCCTTGTCAGGTCTACCAAAAAAAGAAAAAAAAAATCTGATCGTGATATCTGTTAAATTCTCCTATTTCGAGTTTTACAGAAACTTTTTAAATAATACTGCAGATAAATGCTTTTTATTATCTATATAAATAATACTCTTGCGTTTGTCTGTCTGGAACTTTTCTCGCAAATTTACCGATTAAACGCAACAAATCTCATATTGTTAAAACAGCCTTTGTCCAAGGAGTTCGGATTGCATATTGGCTTTTCAATTCAGAATCACCTTGCCTGTTTTTTGCTTAGTCAAACTTTTCAACGCAACGAGTATTGTATACGATGGCACAATGAATGTCGTTGTCATCATGTGACGACTGGCTTCGATTTCAACTTTAGTTGTTGATTTTTTACAAAGTATTTCACACAAAGAACACTTAACCAAGGTGTAGTTTCCTAAAAAAAATAACATTACACTAAATAAAATTTATATGGACTTTCTCGACTTATTTAAGTCTAAAATATGCATGCGCAGTTCGTTCAAAACCATATGCTTATCACTTTGTGAACACGCATTCAGGCGTTTCTGCATATTCAGCTAAGTTTGCCTTCATTACAACTTTACATTTACTTTACTGTAATAATTTAGCTTCGGTTTGTTTCATAGACTGCTATAAACATTCTTTAAGTTACTTTTTTCTTTACTACGGGTTTTATTCTTCGTTTTTGTGAGTTTCTTTGTTTCTACTCGTAAAACCCTGTCATACACTGAACGCTCATAACTGTTTTATACTATGTACACTATTATATATACCATCACTTTACTTTATTGCTTACTTTATGTGTAGTTTTATTAATTATAGTTACGTACGTGTAGTTTTATTAAATATAATTAAGTCTACGTGAGTTTGTTTGTCTGACCGAGTGCATTTTTGTAAATAGACCAGGATTTATTGATCCAACACATGATGCCTACAAGAAAGCGTAGCTTAAATGGCATGCGTGAAAATGATAGAACATGGAAAATTCAACCGAAGTGCGTGACAACTACCGCAAATGTTTCGCGGTTCGCGGCTAGTTTTGGTGCAGTATCTATATCCTAGCAAAACAAGCTGTAGTCATGCCTACGTAAAGAGTGCTTCAGAAACCCTGGTATATATAAATACATAAACGGGTGTATTCATATAGAATTGTTTATATAAGACGAATTGTTATAACTGTACCCTTTAAAAAAACGTTTTGTTGGCTGAGGTTTGTATTCAATCTGATAGCCAAAACTTAAGTCTAACGAAATACCCAAATATAAAAGAGGCTTTCTGATACAAGAGATTTTTTATATAAATCACACATACAAAGAAATCTTTGCGATTATTCCCAAATATTTTACTCCGAACGTGTAATGTATTTTCAGCCTGGGTTCAAATATTTTTATCCCCAGTTTAACTAATATTCAATAGTGACACATGTTAACCATGTTTCGTGAGTAATCGAACATAATATGTGAATCTAGAAGACAATTAAATGTTTTCCCGCTACATTATTTTGTAAAATTCCGAAGTCGTCATGCAAATTATGCTCTGCTCTTCGTAAAAAAAATCTAAATTAAGAAGTATATATCATGTAAGGTTATATTATAATTACTTTAGGCCAGGCATGGCCTTATGATTAGAACACTCGACTAACAATCGTTGAGTCGCGGGTACGAATCCCGTCAGTGAACGGGCTCACCTTTTCAGCCGTGGGAAAGTTATAATGTGATTGTCAATCCCTTTTTTTTTCTTGGGGAAAAAATAGTCAAAGAGTTGGAGGTGGGTGATGTTGACTTGCTGCCTTCCCCTTTGTCTAAAGTAGGGACATCTAGTGCAGATTTGTGAACCAAAACACTTCTTTTTCTTGAGACTTACTAATAACCCTCTATATAAAGTTACAATGTTTGTACATCAGACTATTGAAATATTTTCATGAATGTGATAACATTAAATATTACAGAGAACTATTTAAACTTGCCTTTTCTTCGTCTTCGTCTTGACGATCGACGCTTGTTAGTTCTTTTCTCTGAAGAAAAAAATCAAAACGGTATTACAGTTATATATTCTAATGCCTTAAATATATACTGACTGACCTCTTTATCAGCCCCCCCCCCCCACCACACACACACTTTTGTGAAACACGCGATATATATGTAAAATATACTGGCATGTGATATGCCAAATGGCTACCAATTAGTAAAACAATAGATAATTGTAATTATATATTAGAAAGAACTGCGCTTTTTAAAGTTCACACAAGTATTTTATCGTTTATACATAGCCTCAGTTCTTATAACTTACCTGGTGATGCCAGGTAAACCTGGTGAAACGTTCTGAACAAAATATACAAAAGTTTTACTTTGTACAACTGATAAAATAAAAACTTGTATGAATAGATAACATTTTTCTAACATTTAAAAAGGCCTGTGATGGGTGCCCTTCTAGCAAGAATTTCGTTATCAAAAAATTTTTCTTTAAATGGCTGTTTAAAGACATTGACCATCAGAGTCTATCAACTGTGCCAACAAAAACAAATGTGGCCGCCAACCAGTAGTGGCCGAATGAGGTAAAAAAAAAGATAATTAAACAGGCTTGTAAAGTGCAACATAGGTCAAACTGTTCCAGATGTCGGATACTTTCAATACTTTTAAACCTAATATGCAAAGGACATTTCAAGAAACTGTCATATATGGCAGAAGAAAAACCAATTGTCAGGTTTATATACAAAAGTACGGCTTCACTAATGCTTAAGAAGTGAGTTATGGACACTGTATTATTTGGAGCCTGTGATGTGGTCTGATGTATCATGTCCCAGTTCCTTTATATATTAATGATAGAGCAAAAATTTGGAGAATAACCACCAGAAACACCTAGACTTGCTTTACTTATTCTGACAGTACAAGCTGGCGGATGTGGTTCGTAGATGTATAGCGTCTCTAGCGTAGTACGTTCCAAACTGTTTCTAAAAATGGCACTATAGCAACCGTTCAATGTTACCGCCACCTCTATTATTTCCGCCGTTTCGATGACTGTGTTCCCAAAAATATTGAATATTGCATCATGAAACGTCCTCCCAAGGGTCACACGAACCTCTGCCGCTATGGTAACTGACTATAGACCCGTTTCCAGAGATTCCACATAAATCCTATACGCCATTGCGATATAGATTCATGAAGGGGAACATTTACATCTGACAACCAATTCACAGATCTTGAAATATGACAGTTTGATGAAGTATTAGTGGTAAGAGTGTCTGAAAACTCCCATTCTTCCTACTTCTACCCACATCCAGTGTGTGTATCATGCTAAAGACGTAAAAAACCACTGAATATTTTAATGTAAAATATCAGAATAACTACCTAAATATTAATCTATTTTCATTTAACTCAAGCTTTGAAAGGTCTCATGGCATCAAACAATACATTGAATCTTTTGATGAGAATCCACCGTTGTGGAGTACCATGACGACCGTGTGTATTTGTCGAACTTTGTATTTGTATTTTTCCAATAATCCTGTAATAATTACAGCTGTGTACGAAACGCGTCGTCTCTCAAAATGCCTTTTCATTGTTAATTGGAGAGCACTGCAACGGGAAAACTCTCAATGGAGCGATTAATTTCATTAATAATGTTCTACTTGAAATGTATTGGTCTAAGTTTGGTGGCAACCCAAACAATCTTTCGTATTTTAAGGCGTTAGAGACAAACATCGTCCAAAATTTACCTCAGCCAATCAAGAGTCCCAATCTGAATCCAAAAGAATAAGTCAGAGAAGCTTAGGAATGTTTTCTGAGGAATATAACGGATAGATTAAATTATTTATCTACACTTGGAGCTACTTTCAATGAGGAGTGATGCGAATAATGTCAAAAATGGACTCACTTCTTAAGATGTGCCGTCTCAAATTTAAATGTAATTTATTCTTCTTACAAGTACATCTAATAAGCGTGTGAGTCAATGAGTCCATATGTTTAGGATTTTATCTTTAACCTCATAATCTTAAAACGATAAGTTAACTTATACAAGTTAATATGTTTGTTTGTTTGTAGATAAGCACAAAGCTACACAATGGGCTATCTGTGCTCTGTCCACCACGGGTATCGAAACCCGGTTTCTAGCGTTGTAACTTGGCAGACATGAGGCTGTGCCACAGGGGGGGGCAAGTTAATATGAGCACTTTAAGATTATTTTCTAAAGAAAGAATAATTACTAAAGGCTTCTTAATCCGATTTTGGTCTAGTTGTATGAAAGAGGAATCATTACTGATCTAAAGGCTGCTTCATCCGATATTGGTCTAGTTATATGAAAGAGAAATCATTACTGATCTAAACAACATTTTGTTTGATACCGTAAATAATAACCAAAAACGAAATTAAAGTATCTAAACTTCACATTTCACACATTTTGAAAGTGAATTCCATGTAATTAAAACAAAGATCAATATGTGACAGACATACCAAGGTATGTTATTTATCTGTTTTTCGGAAACCTGTTTATCCACACAAAGTTTTTACATGTTCAAACCAATGTTTTATGCTTCAATGCGTAATAACAAGAGTCCACGTAACACGGGATGCGTTCAGGAAGAAGTGTACTTTTTATGGACCAACTATTTTGAATTGTAGGTTTGTTTGGTTTAGTTGTTCTTAAGTGCAAAGCTCCACAATGGGCTGGCTATCTGTGTTCTACCACCACGGATATCGAAACAGACATATCACTGTGCCACTGCGAGGCGTTCGCACAGGTTGTAATAATAGTCATAGGGCGCTAGATTAAAACTAAAAGTGGAGATAGGGAAAATTTTCCATCCAAATTTCTTAAGTGCAATCGTTACATGACATACAGAGCGTGGAATTATCATGTTGCAGGGGAGCAGTCTCTAGCAACGGTCCGCTGGTGTCCTATTAACGTGATCTCTCGTCGGCTTCACTTTACTCATATCCCTTTCCTTTCCGGACATCACTCCCCGCAAATTTTTATATTAAGCTAATGCTTGTTTATTTTCATACAAATTAAGACTTCTCATTTCGCATGTTTACAAATGTTACAATGTTAAGGCCATCAGATTATTTAGTATGAAAGTCGTCGTATTTCCGACCTGTTGGAACTTTCGTATACGAGTTTTTCTTGTAGAACAGATATGATAAAAATAATTTTGTTCACGTTTTCACGTTCTTCTTGTGTCACAATTTGTTTGATTATCGTAGTGTCTTTTTTTTTTAAGACACCATATAGATGCTAAATATAATACAGTATCTATTCTTAGAGATTACATTAGAGGTCTTTTAAACTGTTTAAGTCGCTAGAGGAACTTGGAAGTTTCCTATAAGTTCTATCAATAAGTTTATTTTGAAAGTTTAGCTAGACAGGATTTTTTTAAGAATAGATTATTCTATAAAAGCATATAGAATAATTACATGAAGACTACAATTTCGAAATCTGGAAACTCGGATCTGTAGTAGAGTAAAACTTAGCAGCTCTGGCTCATAAAATTTGTTCTTTATCTGGAAAATTCAGAAAGCCTAAATAGCACATTTATCTATCTGAAAACTTTTTTTACAATTGATCGAAAAGCCAGAGTAATTTCGAAGAGTTTACTTTCTTTGTTCAGTAACAGAAGAAGTAGAGTCCACTGTTCAAATTTACATGATTAAGTTGACTTCAATATCCTTGACACTTTATTCGTCATCCTCCATACTATTATTTTCCATTATGATTGAAATATTTTACAATACTGGACTGAAGGTAGGAGTAACACGATTCAATGTGTCTAGGCACTTTTAGATAATGATTCTTAATACATCGTATGAACTTCTAATGTCATATCCATCTCTTAGCACTATAAGTTGATGAACTTCTAATTGTTAGCCCTTATTACTATAGGATGATGAACTTCTAATGTCATATCCATCTCTTAGCACTATAAGTTGATGAACTTCTAATTGTTAGCCCTTATTACTATAGGATGATGAACTTCTAATGTCATATCCATCTCTTAGCACTATAAGTTGATGAACTTCTAATTGTTAGCCCTTATTACTATAGGTTGATGAACTTTTAATGTTATATCCATCTCTTAGTACTATAAGTTGATAAACTTCTAATTGTTAGCCCTTATTACTATAGGTTGATGAACTTTTAATGTTATATCCATCTCTTATTACTATAGGTTGATGAACTTCTCATTGCCATCTCTTATTACTATAGGTTGATGAACTTCTAATGTCATATCCATCTCTTATTACTATAGGTTGATGAACTTCTAATTGTTAACCCTTATTACTATAGGTTGATGAACTTCTAATTGTTAACCCTTATTACTATAGGTTGATGAACTTCTAATGTTATATCCATCTCTTATTACTATAGGTTGATGAACTTCTAATGTTATATCCATCTCTTATTACTATAGGCTGATGAACTTCTAATTGTTAGCCCTTATTACTATAGGTTGATGAACTTCTAATGCCATACCCATCTTGCCACAGTTCGGCTGCCTATTTTTGACCGAAGTACCCTGTACATGTTTTCCGTTGTCATCCACACACCAGCAGTAGCCTGTTGTTCGATGACACTGGACTTCCATATAGGAACCGTCCTCCTTACACTCAGGAATGGTCACCCTACGGTTCCCCTCCGAAGCCTGGGCTAATGCTAATCTCCGTACATCAAAACAGTTTGGTGAACCTGCAACAAAATGTAAAACAAGACAAAGCACTGAAACCAAGAGACAAAAATAAATAAATAAATAGCAATTTTGTAATTATCCGAAAATATTATGTTGTGTAACCTATCGTTTTTAAGGTATTGGATATATCGATAAATTAGAAAAGCCGTTTGGGTAACAACAAAACATTTTGTTTGTTTGTTTGTTTATTAGAATTTAATGCAAAACTGCTCGGAGACTATCAGCACTATCAGTCCCTAATTTTGAAGTGACAGACTAGGGGAATACCAGCTAGTCAATACCACCTTCCGCCAACTCTTGGAATATTTTTTTTATTTACCAATGACTAGTGGGGTTGAAAGGGCGCGCATGTTCGATGACAGGATTCGATCCTGCCAGCAGCAAATTGCGAATTAAGCACCCTAACTACCAGTCCATGCCAAGACCTATAAAAAAGGCGAGAGAGAATATAGATAGATAGATACTGAAGTTAACACAATACCTAATATTTGAACAATCGCGTAAGAAAGAAACTGAAAGTAATACGTTGCGGTTTTGGAAATGTCATATTTCAAGAGATAAATGGTAGGTATCGTCCTGGGAATCACATCAAATTCCTGCTGGGTCTCTTGTTATGGTTATACAATATCTCACTCTTGACATGCGCCCTTTCGGTCTTTGATAACCAAATTATCTTTGAAACCTAATAAGTTTACAAAATATACATACGCTGCAGTATATTGAAAGCACGAGCCTGTAGGCGTCACTTTTCTTTAAAAAAAAAAAGGGGGAGAATTTTCGTAGTCTTGTCCCTGACCTTCAACTTTTGGTCGTGAAGAAAGGCATCAATTGTTCTCGAGTTTTAAGATGAATTAAAACTTGAAATTTTTATACGTTTAGTTTTATCTTTTACACACTGATGTTTTTCAGCTTTTTATACTCGTAGAGGTTTCACACGTTTTGTAGAAATTAGCGTATGTTTTACTAAAACAAGATACTATTTATAATTAACCCTAACTCCATTTAAGTATAAACTAAATAAAGATATAATCTATTATAGTCAAAAGCTTAGCAAAAGTATTGAAATTAAGATGAAATACGTTTAAAAGGCTTATATTATAACTGACTATGAGGACAAAACGTTCGGTATCACGATATCTAATTGAAAGTAAATGCTACTTAGCAGCCGTGGGGGCGTTATAATGTTACGGTCAATCCCACTATTCGTTGGTAAAAGAGTAGCCCAAGAGTTGGCGGTGGGTGGTGATGACTAGCTGCCTTCCCTCTAGTCTTACACTGCTAAATTAGGGATGGCTAGCGCAGATAGCCCTCGTGTAGCTTTGCGCGAAATTCCAAAACAAACAAACAAGCTACTTAGCAACTTATGTTTATACACAATGTTGAGTTTACACAGACTTTTATTACAAACTTTGGTGATTTTACGACAAATTAATTATGACGTAATTATTCTTGAAAATAGCAATTACGATTAAAAATTTTCCGTTTTAATAGAAACTGTTAAAATTAAAATAGATAAATAATATTAGCTCGCGGAGTACCAACTGTAAATATTTCTTCCTTTAAAAAGATCCCCCGCTTCCCAGTGACACAGCGGATAGTCTAAGACTTATAATGCTAAAATCCTGGTTTCCATACCCTTGGTGGGCACGGCACAGATAGCCCTTTTTGTAGCTTTGTGCTTACCAACAAAGAAAACCTTTAAAAAGGAACGTGATAAGTGGTAAAGGGTTAAGCATGGTGAGGCTTTGCTTAAAAGATCTATCATTTACCTCGCTGACAAAGGTCGCGACACCTGTCGGCAAACAACTTCTCTCATCATGAAATGCCACACGACAAAACAAAAGTAATAAAAGAAAAGATTATTTACAGGGTTGTCTAAATATTTACTAGTTAATTGTGGTTTTACATTTATAGTAATAATAACGTAGTTGCGCATCTTAAAGTATAAGTTCCAAACTAAAGATTCACCGTCAAATCACATTTTATAGATACGTAAAATAGAATATAAACCCGTTCAACCAATAAAATCATCAACAACTGCATCATCGCTTTATTGCTTGATAATTACTAAGCATATATATTTACGTTAGCTGTACTTTCCAATCGCACTTAGATCTGAAATCTTGTTTTAAAGAGAATTTCAAAGCGAAATATATTTCTTAACATTGTTTTTAAGCAAATTAATTGTCTTTCAATTGTAAAACGTAACATTTCACAGTCTTAATGAGTTGATGGGCGTGTAATTAGAGCACGACAGTAGTTAAACAAGCTAAACCTATTGAATTTATACAAATCCGTTGAATTATGAACCGTATAAACATTTGTCATAAGTAATTATATTTCGCAGTCGACCAATCTCATGAATAAATCAAATTAAAAGGATCCTGTGACACAGTAAATAAGTTTAAAATTGGAGCTGCAAATTTTGCAAATTAAAACTAAAAGAACAAATAGTTATTCTCCAGTGTGGAATAATTTTGTAAGTCAGAAACTGAAGTTTTGTAAGTTAATGTGTAATTTCTAGCTTTCTTATATAACATTTTTCTCCAGTTAAATGTTTACGAGTTGGGCTTAACTTAACATCGATTTTCACTGTCCGTGGCAATCACAAACGCCATTTTCTTTACTATGGGTTAATGCTTATATATTTCAACAGAAATGAGACTATGTTGCTATATATACATTTGTTATTGTTCTTGTTGTTTTTTTATTGGAACGTAATTTTTTTTCCTCAACATTATTTGCCATTTTCTTTTTCGTGGTATTTTTTTTAAGTCCTGAAGCTGCTTATGACCGTTGGGGCACTTTAGATACTGATACATCATCTGTGATCCTCTGTCAAATTTAAATGGTGGCGCCCATATCCTCTCCGGGTAGCCGTCCCAAATTTAGCAGTGAAAAACTAGAGGGAAGGCAACTAGTCAACATCACCCACCACCAAATTTTGGGCTGCTACTCCTTAACTAACGAAAAGGAGAATTGACTGTCACTCCCACGACTGAAAGGGCGAGCATGTTCGGCGACGGGGATCCGAATCCACAAGCTGCAGATGCAAGTCAGGCGTCCTAACCACCAGGCCTTGCGAAGCCTTTTTATGATAGGTATGTACACACAAATACTCACAAAGATTATATCAACAGGTATAAAATAAAATACAAATTAGGACTTGATAATCTTTTAAATGTTATGCTAAAATCACACAATTTTTCCGCTATTACTAATATGCAAATGTATCAACGAAAGTAATGTTTGCCACTTGTATTCTGAATGCTTCACATTTAACTAAGAATAAGTCTAAGTAATGTTTGCCACTTGTTTTCTGAATGCTTCACATTTAACTAAGAATAAGTCTAAGTAATGTTTGCCACTTGTATTCTGAATGCTTCACATTTAACTAAGAATAAGTCAAAGTAATGTTTGCCACTTGTATTCTGAAAGCTTCATATTTTTCTAAGAATAAATCAAAGTAATTTTTATCACTTGTATTCTGAAAGCTTCATATTTAACTAAGAATAAGTCAAAGTAATGTTTATCACTTGTATTCTGAATGCTTCACATTTAACTAAGAATAAGTCAAAGTAATTTTTATCACTTGTATTCTGAAAGCTTCATATTTTTCTAAGAATAAGTCAAAGTAATTTTTATCACTTGTATACTGAATGCTTCATATTTAACTAAGAATAAGTCTTGTAAGTATTATGATGCTAACAATCCAAGTTCTAACCAATATTCAAGATTTATTTATTGTAATAGAACTCCCAGAAATGGTAAAAATATTTTTAATGAAGGACAAGACCGATAAATAAACATTTGTAAAAGAAACAGAATCGTGAGATTTGTTAATGAAAGTACGTCCTGCTAAATCATATGAAAGTACGTCTTACTAAATCAAAAGACAGAATTGTAGATCAGATAAAATGGGGTGTATAGAAGTTGTTAAACAGCACTTTACTGTAAACAATTTCCTCAATATTAATTCAATTTTCACTACGTAACACTTAGTTTCTTAAGTTTATTATTCCAATTTTCAACATACACAAAAAACTCTCCCCATCGAAATTCAAAAACAATATGGTTACTTTAAGTTCTAGATATACGAGTTTTAAGGATACCAAGCGTAGTTTCTGTCGTTCTTGATTCTGTGTTTGTTTTTTTGTTTGTTTTTTATCGGTGTCTGTTTGTTACACTAACTTGAGAAATGGTTGCTTACGCTTACGCTCACACACTTTGCAGGAAACGTTATGTCACGACAAAGCCTTATCTTTACAAACTAGTTATTACTAATACACAATATATTTTTTTGTATTAGAAATACCAGGATAACTGTTACATGTAATTTAATGTTTTCAACTAACTTGCTCGTTTATAATGAGAATGAAACGAATTAGTGTACATGATAGCTGCAGACCTAGCTTCGGTGATACTTCGTCATACATATAGTCTGTATTATTATCTTTTCATTGCATACCTTAGGCAATTAAGTTGACTTTTTCTTTACTGCCTATTATTCTCTTACGTAAGATTTTTGAGATAGTTTTAACAACATGTCCTTTCAGTGACTAAGCGATAAGGTTGAGGGCTTATAACGCTAAACTCGGAATTTGATACCCGCTATGTGCACAGTGCAGATAGTCTACTGTGTAGCTTTGTGCTTTAAAACAAACATAACTCTAACAGCATATACAAATTCTCTTTAATTTAATTTTTTGCATCCTCTTCAGCTTCATCATCCTCTTATAGACTCATTTAGAAATCGCAATTAACTCAACATAATAGTTTAAGGTCTTAAACATTTAAAGTCTCTAAAGTGATTCAAACTAAAATACTAAGTTGTTACCCAATGTAAAATCCTTCTATTTAAAACTACATGCAAGAAGACAATAAAACTAAGCTTTCTAATAAAAAAAGAAATTATTTTTGAAGTCCTGTTTCGTTTGTTTGTTTGTTTTTGAATTTCGCGCAAAGCTACACGAGGGCTATTGCGCTAGCCGTCCCTAAT